TGATTTGCCAGACAAAAGGCATGATGGGCGTTTCTTCAACTACACGCACTTTTGGCCCTCACTTTAGACTAATATATATATATATATTAGGGATGTAACGATTAACTGCGAGCCGGTTGAAAATCGATTCAAATGTGTGACGATTCAAATCGGTTGAGATGCTAAACAAATCGCGATTCAGTTAGGGGTAGGAGTTTATATGAATGTATGTCTGAGGGGAACTTACTGTCTTTCGATGGTATTTTTTCTTTTCCTCTTGCCTCTGTATAATGCATATTAAAGTTCATATGTGCAGCGCTCCTTTGTTTACAGCGGAAAGCAAGGAAACGTTTTAAGCGCCACCTGCTGGCAGAGAGTGAATCTGCGTCTCATTCAGCTCGTCTGTTTCTGTTTCATGCAGATATTTTTTATGTGTAGTTTCACATAACTGAAGTCAAACCATTCTGTTTTTGCTTCAAATTTCGAAATTATACAATCTTTTAGATTAAAAAAAATGCTCATGTTGCATGTATGCAGCATCTCTGTTTGGATCATGATTAAAATGCAGTGGTTGCCTCTAATTTTAATGTTAAGAGCACAGACAAAGCCTTAATTTGTTTATATGAAGAGATTTGTTTTATTTGTGTTACTTATTTATTTGATTTCGGGCTTGTTTTCAAATTGTTTTGTTATTTACATTTACACTATATTTAAAATTGTGTTATTTAGCTTACGCTTTTATCCAAAGCGATTAACAAATGAGGACAATAGAAGCAATCAAAACCAACAAAAGAGCAATAATTTACAAGTGCTATATTAGTATATTATTATAGTGTTATATTTCAATTTCACAAAGAAACGTACAGTATTTTGTCCAAGCAATAATAAAAGGACACATATAATTTATAATTTGTCTTAAATCTCATTTTGTTAAAAAAAAAACAACAACAACCGTGAATCGAATCGAATCGTGAAATCAAAATCGTGAATCGAATCGAATCGTGAGTTGAGTGAATCGTTACATCCCTACCAAACATGTATGGCCATACTTTGTCTAAATACATTTATATTTTACATTTTATATTTTAAAAACACATTTTGCATTTGCTCAAATTGTATTTCAAAATTAGAAAAGTACTTTCTGCCTCTTGAAGCACATTTTGTATGGTTAAACATTTTCAGTTTGAAAAATCTGCACGGTTAACAACATACATTTAGCATATATTTGAAATATTTGAGCCAGAAACAATATTGTTTGCAGAATGGATACATTTTTGCTGTATGATACATACAAGTTGATGTAACATGAGAAATGCGTATCACTTTGTGCATCTCTCAATCTGTGTAAGATGAATTATTCCTAAGCACATGATCATGATAAGGGGGTGACATACCTCGCCCAATGACACATCTAGTACTCCTCCTCTCCTGACTGCTGGTCTGTGTCCTTTGTGCTCTTTTGTTCTGCGTTTTTTTCCTTTGCTTTATATCTATCCCTCTTCTTTTTATGTACTGTTTATTTTGTCTTCACTTATACGGTTTAGTATTTATGATAATATCATGGAATTTAATATTTTAAACGACACTATATAGATAAAATACATTATTATTATTATTATTATTCTTATTATTATTGTTTTCTGTTATCAATGTAGCCTTGTAACCAGGGTGGTTTCATTGCCCATCGAGTAGAACAGCATTTTATGGCAGCGTAATCCACTTAAGAGTGTTTAAAATGCACACACAATGGAAGTAAAATTTTTCACTGGATGAAAAACGTCCTCTTTCAAGCAACAGCAAAATGTGACCTAGTTTAGTTGAGCCTGTAGGCACAATTTTGGAAACCTGCATGACACATGACTCTTAGCATGCATGAAGCTGACCAGTGAATGAGAGTTCAAAACCCCTCCGGCACTCATGCCTCCTTCTGACCTTAACAAATTCAGAGCTTACAAATATTTTCTAACCTCATCTAAAATGTATTTGAGGGCATTTGTTTCCTTCAGGTACTGTACAGCTAATATGCATTTTAATTGCTTGGCTCAATGCTTGTCACTAAGGGAGGAGTATTCAAGGCCGGCGGTACTACACGTCAATCACCTGAGAAAAGAATGAACACTTGCCAAGTGACCAAATTAAAAGTTAAATGATTTGTGCCCACGTTTTCAGCATAAACTTCACTCCAGACTTCCTGTTGTTACACTTACAGCCATAACATAATAATTTGCTCATGTGACCATGACATGCAAAACAAAACAGTTATCACAATGTTCTTCTCTTTCAAGTTCAAAGGTTTTATACCATGCAAGTAATTGCTCATATACGTATAATTCCACTCCATCCCTTGAGGGGAAAAATAATTAATAATGCAATTAAGCCTGCTATTGTGGCATGAATAGACGGACGCCCCTGAGGGTTTATCCGTTATTAGGTGCACATTATCTTGTGATGGAGAAGTGGAAATATTTCCTTTCTCTTTGGGACTTCCAATCAAAACACATTACATAGAAGGCTTTAGAGACTTACAGACATGAATACTTTTCATTTACTAATAAACCTTTTGGCTAAATGAGCCCAGTTCATCGTTTGAAATCATGATTATTTCATGCTCATCAAATTGGTGTCATTGCAAATCTGAAAAAAAAAGTGCAGCGAAAATTAAACCAATGTGAATGCTACGAATCCAGATCCCTGTTATGGAGAAATCATGTGCTTCATATTTCAGTTACCATGAAAACCATTCCAGCTCAATTTCACATAGCATAATTTCCTTCGGCACACAGGGGAGAAAACGTGCCAATCTATTAAACGTCCTGTGGGCACATTTTCTAAATCATATGAAATATTTGAGAAGGTGTAACCTTGTGAACATGTCCTTTGAGTTCTCACTTCTGTACTGGCATCAATATTTCATTTTATGCTGAGCAAGCTAGCTTTCACTTGCCATGTTTCTACCCAGACTGGAAATATTTGCCTTTTTTTACTTTTACTTTAAAACAATAGAGGATTAAGAGCATGACTAAAGAAATACAATGGGACTGGCATACTAGATGTGCCTCACAACAAGATATTATCAAATGTGAAACTATGCCTTTTCGATTGTATCTTTAAAGAAACATGAATCCCATGGTGGAAGCTTCACTGAGGGTCAATCTTCGGAAACTAAGACAATGAAACAAGCAGATAACAAACCGTCAGCGGTGCGCTAGCATCAACCTGATGGATGCAGCTGAATCAGGGGATTTGTCAGAAAGGGGGGGGAAATGAAAAACGTCACTTAAAAACTAAGGGCGTGAGACATTTCTCAAGGGCAATGTGCTGACTTGAGCAGGTGGGGAGGGGCGCTATTCATGCATGCCCTTGGCCTTTACTTTTTGATGCCTTTTTTTCATGCAACATAAGACGCATGTGGGATGTTGGCATTACAGCTTGCCACCTCCAACATTAACCTGCGTAAACAATGGAGAAATGTGAAACATCCCAGTGCGACAATTTATGCGGCAGATCTTCATCTGTGTTTATTTTTTAAATTAAACACACTGAGCTTCAGTCGAGCAGGGTGTGTTTGTGACAGGAAGCAGATAAGTGTTTAACTTTGTACTGAAATGCTGTCTGAACGGGTGTCAAATTAACAGAACTCTTACAGTGATTAAAGTGCATGCCGATCATCAACACAAACCCATGTTAATAAGAAACCAAATGTATAGAGAAAAGGCAACTCGAAAGCTGAGTGGATCAAGCAGTGTCTGATAGCAAAGCACTGAGATGAGATAATGTAAGATAATATCAGTGGAATTTACTAATGAAGACACAAGGACACAGTAAAGTCAAACAACCTCTGTCAACATTTCTGTTGAAGTTGAATGACATATAAACAGACTCTGTGTGCTGAAGTTTGGGATTTATAAAGATAACCCAAATATTTTGGACTGTGTGACATGTACAGGCATTATCAGGGCACGTCTGTTTTCAAAAACAGGCATATTTAGAATAACTGCCATTGGCTGTGTCTCAAAACCTAGCAAGCTGCTCACATTTCTGGGCATCCAGCACGCCTTTATCACCCAGAAATGTTGCCTAGTTAGGCAGCTCACTATGGTTTGACACGCGGCCATTGTGGCGTGTCTCTAAACAATCAAAACAAGACTTCAACCGGAACAGAGACTGAAAGCTGCCCAAAATAACCCTGCTGCAGTGTAAAAGAGCAGGTTCCTTCCGTACTGCACTGATGCATAATACAACCAAATACAGTAAAACACAATGCAAAACTTGATGGGCTGCTACAGAGGCTGAACTTGCTTTGAACAGACAATGTGCTCCAATAAAGTTACACGCTGAGGGCAGGTTATAAAACCGCGGTTGAAACGTAATGCAGCAAATATGCATCGATGCAATAGAACAAAAACTGATCCAAACAAACAGGTTTTGTTTGCTGTAAACTCTGTCAGAGCTTAACAAGGGATAAAATCTCAGAACAAATTTGATGCGAGTGCACAAATAGGAAAGCCAAGTAGTTTCAGCCCTTTCTTTGAAAGGAGAGGGGGGAACTCACCTTGCATATCAGAGGTGTTTTCATCTAAGCAAACGGTGAACATCGCATGCAGAGCAGCCTCATCTGTCATACTTCACTCTGCCTTCTTCAAAGGCTGTACTGTGAACGCTCTCTGCTACTCCCACAGCGCAGCCAATAGCGAGCGACCTCTGCGAAGAGAACAGCCAATAGAGAAGCCCGCTAATCATATTGCCACGCCCCTTCACCAGAGCTAATCAAGTCTAAACAGGTCTGATCGTTTAGTTGTTTGAAGGCGGATTAAATTAGTTTCAAAACAAATACGTACTTGCCTTGAACGATACGTACAACAATCTTCTTAATCACATAATCCTCAATTTAAGTAAACACTGCAAAAATATTAAATCTTTCAGTTGTCTTTTGAGCATGTTTATGAACGCTTAACGTTAAGTGATTCAAAAAGTAGGATTTATAGCATTGAAATAGATTTTGAAAAGGATGAACCAAGTTACTGGGAACTAGTGAAGATGCCGACAGTGCTGTGAGAAGTAAACTTTTACTTTGCGCATTGTTGAACAGTATTGCATGACAAGCTGTTTATCCATTTCTATACCAGTCCTCTGGGCAAAATCAGATTAAATTTAGAGGAAGCCCTCAAACGGACTTTTTAAATGTCAAAACTGTCATTCAAAGTGACATAACGTATTGCAGTGCTGAAATATAAAATCAGATGGAGAATCTGAGAAGCTTGTGACATTTGATCTAATGTGGTACCTTTTTTTAACCTCAGAGTTAATAATAGTCAGTGTAACTCCTGCAAATACAAACATGGTCAGTCGGACTTAGCATAGCCATTGAGGCAAACTTTTAAAAAATTAGAATTTAGTCAGATGTGACGGGATAAAGAAAAAAAAAAAGCCACTCTTTAGTATATTTGGGCAAAGGCAGAAAAATCTAACACTAGACTAGTTTCCATTTTAAAAGTTCACCACCAAAAGTCCACACTAATGATCTGGCCCTTGCAGATAATAAAAAAAATAAAAATAAAACAAAAATAAAACACATGGACAACAGCAAACATGCAGCCAGCAGTTTTTTTTTTTTTTTTAAATAAATAAAAAGAACAATTACTGGGCACGGGTCAAGTGCAATGCTGAGACTTTAATGACACAATAACACTGTACAGATGGAGTTTTCTGCATTACACAGATGTATAAAAATAGCACGGTAATAAAAACAAAAGACATCTGAACTAAGAGTGGCCAAACTGCCAAATTGTCCCCACTCTTTAGTATATTTGGGCAAAGGCAGAAAAATCTAACACTAGACTAGTTTTCATTTTAAAAGTTCACCACCAAAAGTCCACACTAATGATCTGGCCCTTGCAGATAATAAAAAAAATAAAAATAAAACAAAAATAAAACACATGGACAACAGCAAACATGCAGCCAGCAGTTTTTTTTTTTTTTTTTACACAAGTTTCGGGTAATACATTTAAGTATTACAGCAGTGCATCGTGGTTTAGTATCTTGTGCCTCTTTTCTTCATAGCACCTGATGGGACAGATGTTGCACAAATAAAAACGAGATTACAAAACAATTTGACTGGTTTAAAACCCTAAACTCACCTCTGCCTCTCTGGCAGTAGGCAAATTGGGTCTCATCATAGTCATCATAATCACTTCTTGGCCTTTGCTGGTGGACTGTCTTACAAGTCGGCCTTCTCAAAGGAGTCCTCCCTTTACAAATCAAAAAGAACAGTTTAAAAGACAAGCCATACTTGTCACTTGCATTGAACAACTTTAGACAGCCAAGTAGGCAAAAACAACCCCCCCCCCATTAAATAGGACATGTCCTACCTTGATCTTGAGGTCCACTAACTTGCCTCAAAGATCTTGGTTTGGCACCATAGCTCACCCAATTCTCTTGGTCAGAGACAACACCCTCTTTCCATTGTCGCTCTAAAAATAATTTTTGCATGAGCTGACCACCTTGTGACAGCATTAAAATGCAAATTAAAAAAAAAAAAAAAAAAAAAAAAAAAAAACACCTAAAACAAACAAACAAGGTACCCTTTTGAATTCGCTTATCTGCTTTAGCCAGAGAGCCACACTCCTCACAGCACTCTCCTTTGGGATGCACACGAGCCTGCTCACGGAGATCACAGCTCTCTTGGCCTTCACACAGCAGCTTCCTGTGCCGGTGTTTGGCACAGTGATGCCCACAAGAGGGCAGCACATGCCTACTGCAACACTTCCTCTTGGGCATTCTCGGTGACTCGCAGTTACTCCGCACCTCTGCGTTGAGGTCATACTCGCAGTCTTGATCAGACGCCTCATCTCTCTCAAGATGGCTGTGTTCGGCCACTTTGCACATTCCTACTTCATCCTGCAAGCTTGAGCCGCAGCGCACGCACATTTTCTGGCAGACAGGGCAAGTTTTCTCCACACTCAGGAGCTCTTTTCTGGAGCGAACAGGAACGTCACTGGTTTCAGCCAGCTTGCCGCCACCAACATACACATGCCCCGGAATGAGATCGAGATCCTCCACATCAGTGGAGAACATTTCATCTCTGGAAGAGAGCTCATCTATGGACGGACTCAGGACACTCTGGCGCTCTTGGGTCACCTGAGGGTAGTAGCTGTAGGAATATGCACTGCCGATTGAGGACAGATAGTTTTGTGGAGGCAGCAGCGTAGACGGAGAATCAAAGTAAACAAGTGGATCAACCTCTCGTTCAAGACTGAGGCCAGTTGTTGTCTTATTGCAGGGCAAGCGAAGGATTTGATACTGCAGGTCAAAGTCTTCAGAGAGCTTTATAAGATGCTCCATAACTGCAGCAGCATCAGTAGATGCAATATTGTGTACCAGCTCATCACCTGGTTTCTCCAAATCGAGGTTCTCTGTTGGATCAGCAGTGCCTTTGACACCACTACAGAGCACATTGCCAGTTGCACTGGTTGTTGACTTTCCATTTAGGCAGCATGTTTCATCAGGAACACTTTGTTGCTCATCATCGGCATCCTCTTCCTCATGGACAGAGGAACTGTCAAGGGGTAGCACATCTGATAGCACACATTCATCCAGTCTACCCTGGCTAGATTCAGCATCATACGCAGAGTCGCTGTAGGTTGTGGTCCTTGTGACCTGATTGACCTGTTCCTCCTTACCTTCCTGAGAGGCGAGCTCTAACTTAGAGTCTTCATTTAAACAGGTCAGTTGCTCTCCCTGTACTACATCAGGGGTAGAGGAGACCACAGTGTTAAGTCCCTTGTCACCACCTTGTTCACTGGCCTTCAGACTCTTAATTTTGTCTAACAGTTTGTTGACTGAATCACTAGGATCTGTTTGGACCTCAGAACAGGCAGTCTCCCGATGCATCCCTGCATGCTGATAGTGTTGGCGGACACGCAAATCGTAGGATGCAACGGAGGGGAAGTGGGGGTTGATTCTTCTGTAATCGATAGGCTGCATGGGCGCATGTGGCATCACATACCCAGGATACTGCATAAACTGATAAGGGGCCACATATGGACGGCCAAAGTGCAAAGCTGGAACAAAGAAAAAAAAATTGTGGTTAAGTGATAGTCTACAATAAGCAATGCCTCAAAAGACTGAACTTACCTGGCCCTGGAAAGCCATAGTGGCCATATGGATTCATGGGCCATTGATACATAAAATAAGGCTGAGATGGTGGCTGAACATAGAAAAAGGGTCTGGTGTGGTTTACTGGATGGTGAGGTTGCCCAACTCCCATTGATTGTGAAGTGTTATTTATGCCTAAAAACAAAATAAAATAGCATTTGCCAGATCATTATACATAATTAGCATTTGCCCGATTGTTATGTGTCCCTGTCACAGTAGAGCTTGGCGCTAGAAACAAAGTCATGGGTTGAGAAGATTACCTTCCATTTAGACGAAGACAGCACAGGATACAAAACACCGCAATACTGTAAAACAAACGTGCTACACTCAAAACCATGATAGATTAGACCAAACAAACAATATCAGTAACGGGCAAGATCATTTTAAAATGGACAGGCATGCTATTAATACCGTAGCATATTTTATATTACGACAGCAAAAATGACTAACCTTAGATGTGAAAGTGACAAAGTGGACTTAAATGTGCATAGAGCAATGGCAATAAATCTTTGCACTTCAGATTTATAGGTTTCATGCTTGTTTCCAGTGATCCACATTAACGCAATCAAATGGCAGTCAGCAGGTGTAACCAATTGGTCCTATATTCAGCAAAGCACTGACGTCGGATTTTATTATCATACGCACTTGCCTCTTACGTTTCTCATTTAGAATAATAAAAATAAAAAAATGAATTATTATTATTATTATTATAGGGTTGCTTCAAATTCCACACAGAGTCATCCGTTTTTATATTACAATTAAACTTAATCTGTTTACATTTATGTAACTCTACCTGGCAGTCATTCATTCCTTTTTCACTAATCTAACGTTACCCATTTATTAATTTACACGAATTGTTTTGTTGATGAAATGCGCTTCCTCACAGCGCCTCTATGCGGGCAGATGATTGTTTCAGTTTTACGTACGAGTGAATGAGAGCGCTGCTCCTCTGTCAATACACGGTGAGTATGTTAATATCTATCGACAGCTCATAAAATACTTCAGACAGTTGAGTTGATTAAAAAGTGTTTACAGAGCCACATCTAGACGGTTCTCTGTAATGTCGCTGACCAGTGTTTTGGTTATAAATCCTAAGCGTTAGCCTGCTAGCGTACGATTATTCAATATCAGCGGGCAAGTTAAGCCAATGGTAGGGGTTTGATTTGAGTATATAAACACGTCTGTCCGTACAGGTTAGAGAAATAACAACGAAGACAGTAAAACATCCGTTTATCTAGAAACTGAGACTTATTTTGAAGAAAGACTTGGCTAACTAGCTTCATGTGAGTTGTTATGGTTTCACTTTCCAGTTTCATCAGACAGCTAGCGTATTAGCTAATGTGAATTTAGTGTAAAAACATCAATACAGGTTATTTAAATGATGTGACAGTCATGTATGTATGTAAAATATTAACATTGACTGCAAATAAACGATAAAATGACTCCGTATGTTTGACAAGTTAATCAACAAACGTGTTGTTGACTCTTGTTTATGCTTCAAACATAATAAATCAGTAAGCCACTTTGTCTAATGCCACTAAACTTTAACTATAATCCCAACTACAGTGTAATTAGTTTGTTTTCTGATGTTTTGGCATAAGAAACAATGAATAATTCAGGCACTGTGTGTTTTAAACCGCTTTGATGACTTTCACTTTCAGCTATGGCCTCTCTCAGTGATCAGCTGGAGGAGGTGAGGGTGAATGCGGAAGGCAGCTTATCTACTCCAGGTTCTGCCCAGGAGATGAGGGCAGGGGTGGCAGCCATGGCCAACATCCCCCTCCCGCCCTCCAGCAAATATTGCTACATCGCTGCTGAAAGCATGCTGACGGAGAACAGTAATGGAAATAATAGGAGGGAGGTGAGAGCTGGTGTAATGATTCATTTTCCTCAGCAGTCCAAAGAGTGTGTGATTATACAGCAGGGAGCAAACATTTGACTTGTTAACCATTTGCACATAGTGAGCGCATACAAGGTTATGACCATGTCTTGAAGATTGGGGGACAAAGGGGGGGTGGTAATAGTCCTTTTTATTTAAAGGAATTAAATAATTAGAGGCTTTAAAGAAATAAAGAAAAAAAAACATAAAATAACTAGAATTTATTGTAGTCAATTTAAAATATTTGCAAATAATATTTTATTTTAAAATATGCACACATTTGCTCTTACTCATGTTCCTAATATGTTGAAAATGGCTTGATTAATGTTTCTTGTACTCAATTATGAATTACAGTAATCACTTATATGGTGAAATTTGACAAAAAATCGAGTAGTTTGCATTAATGGATATGATTGTTAGTTGTTTAACATCTCTGCCATAGAACAGTTATCAAATGTTTAGCTACTTTTATATCCTACCTTGCACTTTCTCTGTTAAACCTGAAGTGACATGAAAATATATATTTTAAATATATATCTGCTTAAAAAGATATCTCTTTTTTTTTTTTAAATCATTTTAGCAACAGGCAGAGTGGTGCGTAATGGAGTGCAGCAGAGCAGCATCAATAATATCAAATATTGATGGGGGGGACAATTTGTCCATATCCGATTATTGGGGAGGGGACTGTCTATGGTGGTTACGGGCCTGACCGTATAAATTGGGAATGTATGGGTTTATACTGGCCATGTGAATGATTGACATAAAGCGCATATTAATACATAGCACTGGGTAATCTGTCACTGTTTCCTCTGGTGTTTCGCAAGAATTTGTTCTCTTTCCACTCATTTGTATGACTTCCTAGTTCCTAGTTGTTCAGACTATTCTGTTGTACATTAATATCTTCTGATCCTTTTAGTCCCTCAGCCTCCTGCAGAAACTTTCCACCGCTCTTAACATCTTGGAGAAGTATGGCTCCAATCTTACCAACCCCAACAGGCCGAAGTACTGGCGTACAGTAAAGTACAACAATCCTGTCTTCAGGACCACTGTAGATTCTATTCCGGTGTGTGGTGGATGAGATGATGAGGCCTTTTGTATGAACCATATACAAATACCTGTGGTTACTATTGTTTATCTTCCTCTTTCAGGGTGGCAGAGCAGTACTCAACCTGTACGGCTACACCAATCAGCAGCAAGACGGCTTGAGCTTTCCTGATGATGTTGTCCAGCCAGATGTTGGGAAGGTGGCGTCAGTGACTCTTGAGGTCATGTGCCTCCGTATGGAGCTGGACATGCTAATCAAGGTCTGAGGCTGTAAAGTATAAGCGCTTAGTGGGTTTATCACAAAATCACAAATAACCATTCCGCTCACATAGAGTCTGTCTCTTTTCTGTAGGGTACTCATCCTTATCCAGAGTTTTTTGAAAGACTTATTCCCTCCCTCAGTGTGCAGGTACAGTTTTTTTTCAACTTAATTAAATTTGTCTGATCATTTATATGGTTATAATAACTTGTCCATGCACTTTTTCCAACATCAAAATAGCAGGCTAAAAGTGATATATACACTACTATTCAAAAGTTTGGGGTCAGTAAGATATTTTTATTTTATTTTTTTTTCATAGAAATTAATACTTTTATTCAGCAAGGGTACATTAAATTGATCAAAAGTGACAATCAGGACATTTATAATGTTACAAAAGAAACAAACAAAAAAGTATCAATAAAAAATTTATTGCAGTCTCCACACAAATATTAAGCAGCACAACTGTTTTCAATAATAAGACATGTTTCTTGAGCTCAAAATCAGTATATTAGAATGATTTCACATTAATAAATTAATATTTAAAATATATTAAAATAAAAAAAACACTTATTTAATAAATATTAACCATTTTTTTACAATATTACTGTTTTTGCTGTATTTTTGATAAATAAATGCAGCCTTGGTGAACATAAGGCTTCTTACCAACCTCAAACTTTTGAATGGTTGTGTGTGTATAAGGGGAAGTGCTTCTATTAGATTTGTTAGCTTTTTTGCAAGTTGCGTAAATACAGTGTCCATACAATGTCTATACAGGATGATGGAATCAGCACAGATGCAGTTGCCTTCTCTCCTAGTGAAAGTCCATGGGAAAAACAAACTCCCTCGCCTGCATCGACTCCTTTTCAGCCTAAATCTCCATTCAGTCCAGCCCTCTCTCTCTCTTCTCTAGTGCCCTCTAAACAAACAGGTAAGCATGTCACATTTACCAACCCTGGCTTTCTTTTTAAAAAATATATTTAATTTTGAGTGTCCGCTTTTATCATTTCCATTCTATTCCGTTGAATTGCTCTGCAGAGAACTGCACCATATGTGGTATATTTCCGGTGTCTGCTCACTGTCCCACCTGTACTCAGCGGCTGTGCATAGAATGTGACAAGCTGTATCACTCCCATTCAGGGCGTTCCACACACATTAGGATTCCTGTGACTTCCTCAAAAGCCACAAAACGGCTCAGGTTAGCACTGTTACTCTGAAAGGTTGAGAGAACATATTTGTGTAGAGGATTTTGTTGAACACCTGTATGTCTTTATTTCTTTTTTCCTTAGCTCATCACTGTCAGCATGGCAGTGTTCATACTGTACTACAGTAAATACAGTGCAGCAGGTTTTGTGTGAAAACTGTGATCGACCCCGCCTGTCCTCTGCTGCTCCATCTTTACAGGAAGAGCCATCTCAGCCCTCTACAATATCTGGTTAGTCTGTACATCCTTTTTTTCAGTTTACTCTCACTTTTTCCACATTAAATAGGCCATCAGTCCTGTTTGACCTTTGGATATGTCAAGTTGATAATTCGACATGACATAAACATCTAAATTCTGTTTTTTTGTCCATCACTTCCTTCAATTAGAGTGGCAATGTAAAAGCTGCACTGTGGTGAATGCAGGCAGTAGCATTCTATGTGAGGTGTGTGAGCGCCCTCGTCTGGCCACCAGACCTCCTGTCGCACCCTCACGTCCGACCCCCTCTACTGCAGGACTAATGGACAGCCAGGTGCCATGATCCACTACATTCCATATGCAATTTTGTTACAGTTTTGTTTACACAGATAGGTGAAGTGTATAATTTATGTACCAATAAGTCAAATCAAGCTAGTAGTGGTCGACCGATATTGTTTTTTTGACAGCCGATGCCAATGCCGATATCTTGGAAAGCAGGGTGGCCGATGGCCGATATAAAGCCGACATAATTTTATTTATTTTAATTAATGTTTAAGAAATTTGAAATCATTTGAAAATGGATTAAAAAGTTTTGGAATCATATTTTTTCCAAATATTGCCAAGGTAACACTAATTTTACATACAGCACACAGTGGAAATGACATGAATATGGCAGTGGGCAAATGCATAAAGCGCAGCATAATTTGAAATCACGAGTTTACAGTTTGTCGATCGCGCATCTCTAGTGAAGCTGAACTCTCCACCTGCCCGCATTACATTCGCATGGATCGACCGTCACGCAGAGAACACGCGATCATGCAGGATACAAATGCACACTTCACAAGATCTCACAACTGGATCCGACTAAGTTTGCAAGCTTTGTGAAATTAAATGCTCATTAGTCATTCAAAGATTTGTTTAAATGATATAAATGCGTATTTGCTAAATGCTGACTGCAAACAAGAAATTATTATAATGTTTGCCTTTCTATTACTAATAAT